GTTTACTTCCAATACCAAGTTTCTTAATTCCCTCAAGATCTTTCTTGGTGAATGGTCTATTATTGTACACACACAGCGCTGGTCCTTGTATTTCTTCGCATGTTTCGTCTTCTATCGCCACTTTCTCACATTCCAGAGACCGAGTATCGTGTATGAAATGTATCTCTGAGGCTTGAGCATCGTCAGCGTTTTGTACAAGTTCCTTTAGTACCCCGTTAATAGGATACCCATCAAGAATTCCATTCAGTCGGACAGTTAACTCTTCGTGTTGTCCAAACGACTCTCCATAACCAATGCGATGCGAATGTTTCTTTAATATAACATTTTTCAATGATTTCGCGCCCAGGTCATGTGCTATTTGCGGTGGTATCTTCTCGTGGACTTTTACGTTGTCATCTGGATCTTTGAGCCACAAACTTAAATTTACAACAACATCTTCGCTTCGGCGCAAGATACTGTCTGTGTCTGGCAGTGGAATTTGGCCAATGTAATCATCCACATCAGGATGTTGGACATGTATTTGACCGATGAAAAATATTGCAATTTCTAATTCATCTTCTGTCAGGGTATATCCTTGCTTTGTGCTTTCTAGTTCATAAAGAGCACTGATGTAGTCTTCATCATCAAATGTCTGTTTGATTTGCATTGCTTCGAAAAGATGTCCATAGTCTCTTTTGTAGTTGGAGGGTAAGGTAAATAAATATGGAGTTCCGTTTCCGTTAAACGTAAAAGCGACTTTCTTGCTTTGCACAAATTTGCCTTCAAGAAACAACCAATCTCGCTTACCCAGCTTCTTCAGGGAACTTTGATTTCTTGCCTGCTCCAAGATTCTATCATTAAAGAATCCATATATTTTCTGGCAGACGGATTCAATCGCGAATCTCTTCCTTGTATCTTGTTTTTTTTCAGATAATTTCTTCCAAAACTGAATCGCTTCGTCTAGCTGTTGAATGACCAATTTGTCTTCAGGAAGACGACTCGAAAATCCAAAGAGATTTTTTACTTTAGTATTTGGCTTTCCACAACCACTTTCGTCGCATGTGTTTAAAATGTAACACGATGAGCCGATGAGTTTGGCATCCTTTGGTAGGAAAAGTTCGTTTGGTGCACAAAAACGTTGTAAAGGCAAATTTGATCCTTTCCAAGGTAAAAGGTACTCATCTGCAGGCTCGTTTAACACTGGCAAAAACGTTACTTGTTGAAGAAGATTACGATAACGAACTGGTTTTGGTAGATGATCTATTCGTTTGTTGAGGTATTCAAAAAATTTTCGTGAACGTTTAGCTTGTGGAGAGAAATCACCATTCGCGATCGACTGAGCTCTTTCGAGGATTCCTGCCCAATCCAGATCTCTTACCATACCAAGTGTTTCTAAAACATACAATCGGTTAGTACTACGGACGTCCTTTCCAACTGGAAAACGGTGATCTTGTTCGCAAAACAACTTAGCTGCAGGACTGAATGGATCGATAAGTTCACGAGGCTTGGCAAGGATTTTCCCATTTTGTGATACTGAAATACAGGCATTTTGTTTAAAGAGACTACTCTCTTCCATAGACGAGGGTAGCAGTGATTGACTTCCTTTCAGGATACGATCCAAACCAAAGCAAACGATAGCATCTCGCTGATTCGGAATTAAGGTTTTGATATTTGGGAAGAAGTATTGTTTCACAAATTTTATAAAAGTCAAGGTACGTCGTTGCAAGATGCCCTGTCGGTCAAACTTCATCAGTGTTTGCAAAATGTTACTGGGTAGGTTAAAAACATGTATCCCTAGTGATCTTAGTACTTCCACTACGGTCTCGTAGATCTCCTTAAAGTCGTCGCTCAATAAGAAACCATCGGTGATACTCATCCATATTCCATCGCTGTAAAATAGCTTAGATTGTTGCCCTAACAATACACTGCATACTTTCTGGACCAACTTCTCCCAGGATCTCATGTCAACAGCGTCATTGATTGGCCACAAAGTGTGGAATTTGTAATGTTGAACATTACCAATTAATTCTTTCATGTTTTCAAGGAGGGTGATATAAGCTCTGGCCAATGCGTCTTCCATGACTGCTTCATTCCATTCCACCTCGATAGGCTGAGTTCGCAAACTCGTTCGTCTCCAAATTTCAACTCGATTTGACATGATAGCAAAGTAGCCATTCACATGCACAGGGAGTCCTGTAGGAATAGACAACGGAAGGAAACAAAATAGTTCCCCAGAAAGATGTGAAGTGACATTTGATTCGTAGGAACCTTGGCTTGAAGCACTCTGAACAACAAATGCTACCCCGCCACAGGGTAAAAAACCACGAGCTCGCCCTTCAGGTGAACGAGCAACTGCAAGGGAAGTGTCAGTCCCGCTGGTCGATACCACAAGCCACGTTAGATCACTGTTGTATTCACGGCGACATCCACTCAATTCTGATGGTTCTTTTCTGGTCACAATATTAACAGGCTCACAGCCAGACGGGTATTCAGTGCAGGGTATTTGAGACTCACGGTATCGTTTCCACCATTTTGAACATTGTTTAATGAACGGTGCTTTGTTCTTCACCACTTTGTCTACAGATAACACCAATTGCATTTTTTTAGGCTGTCTTGATCCATTCAGTTCATAGACTTCTACCTCTTTTACATGTTGGGAAAAGATTAACAAGGTCGAAGCACATTCACAAAGGCTAGAAACAATGGTTTGAATCCTGTCTCGACCATAAGCAGTTTTGCGGATATCACTGGTTCTTGCTTGGGAAGCCGTGCGAAATGGAAATCGGAATAATGTTCCGTCATAGTAGAAGCCATCACTTGTTTGCATAGTGTTGCAGCCAAAGACGCCATTGTACGGTCGAAACAGATCGTGGTATCGTGTTAAGGACTCTGGTTTCCTAGCAAGGTTAATATGAATTCCAGGACGGGACCTGTCCTTAATATGACGTTGCAAATGGTGAGTGTTCGGATCGAATACGACCAAGTGCTCTCGGCTGATAAAACTCGGTACATCAGTGAGGTGATAAACAGCGTTAAAACCAAGCCCAAACCGACCAATTTTCGAAATATCTTCTACTTTCGTTTCTCCAGCTAGCTTGTTGATATTTTCAAAATCTTCATCAGTAAACACAGCATTATTGTAAGCCCACAGAGCTGGACCTTGGCATTCGGCCATGCCAGAAGAAAACAGGCTTCCCGTTTGACCCTTTCTCCAATCCACCAAAAACTTAACTGTTGTAGCACCTGCATCGTCTGCATTTTGGATCAGCTCTTTGAAGATCTCAACGCCATCTTTGTACTCTCGAAGTATATTTCGAATCCGAGTTGTAATTGGTTCATACTGTCCTGTTTGTTCAAACAGTTCTGTTGGAAATAAGTTAATGAAATAAGTTTATATTAATTTTGATGTTTATATCTACAGGTAATTTTTGTGTCTCAATCTTTTTGCTATATCGTTGCTTTCTTCTCCTGTTTCAAAACTTTGTTTGTAAAACGTAAACAAAATTGAAAACCCACCAAAACATCGCTAAACACACTTCTGTCTAGGATTTCCACATACTTTAGTATTTCTGCCGTCTAAACTTTTCTAACGTCACATGGCATGAAATACTGAACATATTGGCAAACATATTTTGTATTATATAATACCTTATTAAATTCTAATCATTTAATTGGCTGTTTATGGTCACGTGATATTGAATAGAAAATTCCATTTCCCAAGAGTGCAATGGAACACGTTCCATTGCACTCTCCGCGAGTGCAATGGAATAAAACGTATAGTACAATTGCACTCTTTGTGTTTTCGATAAATCGCATCCCTCAAAATGCTTCTCATACGAATCTATCAGTCTATTTTGGTATTATATAAAACAAATAATGAATGTTTATTCGTGCAATGGTAAGAATATTTTCATTCGGTGAAAGATGGAGAGTTCCATTCAACTCGGCTGTCGCCTCATTGAATGAAACATTCCATCTTTCACCTCATGAAAATATTCTTACCATTGCACTCATAAACATTCATTATTTGTATAATATGTAACTTATGTCACAGCGAGGTGCGTAGTGGAAAGAGCCTGGGTACGAGGTTGCTTATGTCAGTGTGCTCAGATATTTGGTTTTCCACGATTCGCTACCGAAAATTGTCACGCGAATCTTTTGTTTTAATTATAAGCTGTCGACTAAATAGATTTTTAATAAATTCTTTTCAATTTTAACAATAAAAATTCGCTTCGTGGGAAAAAATTCGCCAGTGGAGAACAGGATTAAAAGTCTCAAACATTCCTCATTTTAATGTGGTTTTAATAACAATATATTAAATAATTTTGTAGTTGTGGTCTGTCTTCTCGCCATTTTTCATTGCTTTCTTTACTCCGTGGACCCTTGCGCGAAGTCTCGCTTGCACGAGCCTCGGATGGATTAAGCGCCCAGGTTGGTATGCTGCGAAAAATGTGCTCATTGGAGAATTGAAATTTGAGACATTCCACCTACCTTCCTTATACCGCGCAGCCATTACCAGCTATAGTTAATAATAAAATCTGCCACATTGTAAATAGTATTATTCATTCAGTTACATGACGACACGAAATCAACAATATTTTCCGACAGTCATCTAAAAATAACAAAACATATAATATTGCATGTCCAACATCACCCGGTAAAAGGGGGAAATCTACGCTGGTCTGTCCCAAATGAAAAAAGTGAAATATATCCATAAATATTACTGTAAAATAGTCCCAAAGAATGCAATAATTTGCCGTTCCTGCGAGGCTGCCACCCAAGATTTCAAAATTTTCCTGTGGTAGAGTACTGTGTTTTTAACTTGAGAATGTTACTTAATTAAACGTTCAAGACTACATAGTACATGACATGATCCACCTGATTGTCTCAGAAACAAGAGAACAGAAATCAGTTTTCTAAAGCGACGTACATTACCCCAAAGATCAGGAAAATCACTAGGCTAGTCTAGGGCCCCAAAACGTTTCTGGGTAGGTACTGTACACGGTCTTAGCTAGAGGGCCGTGTTGGCCGTGTTATCGCGGCCAAAAGTGGAAAAACACGGCTAGATAAAATGAACGCGGCTTCATTATTTATATAAGGCCGTGTAGGTTCTAAAATAAGGTGGTGCTACTTACAACAGACAGCATTTCTTTATATTTACGTCGTAAGAAAGTTTGTAAAATCTACTGTTAATTGTTGTTGAAATTGGCAAAAGTGATCCGTGATGTTTTACTGTTTTGATGGATAATGGGAACTGTATGGTGTTAAAATGGTTTTAAATACCCCCAAGAGTTGCCTTGTATTTGGTTGCAAAGCACAGAACCACATACATTGTTGTTGGCGAGCATAACTAGAACCGTGATTTGGCTATTCAAGGTAATTGACATGTGCAGACCCTGGTCATCAGAAACACGCCCAAGATCTAAAATCCTAGCTAAGACCCTGGTACTGTAGGTAGGTAATGCTTTATTTAAAATCAAAAAGGAAGTAGAACACGCTAGCCCCATCAACTCTAGGCTGGTTTCCATGGGATGGAGGGGGGGGGGGGGTTAAATCTTAAAAACGTTAAAAAGAAAATAACTAAATATTAATACACACACATACTATACATATCATATATACAACTAACTAGGAAGCATGTCGTTGTCCAACAATTGATTTAATTAAATGAATGAAGCGACTCGGTCAATTTTGCTTCGTTTGGGAGTTGATTCCAGAGCACTGCGCCGCTATATATTTCAAACTACTTTTAAGAAATTCTCGTTTCAGCTTAGGAATTGTTAGGTCAGTTGCTGTATTTCGAAGATGATAATTAGTTTGATCTATTTCTCTTCTCACGAACGACCCTCGGCGCAGTGTGGTCATTAAGTATTTTATACATTAATACTGGCTTGGCACCAGACCGCCTATTTTCAAGTGTGTCCCAATAACGGCATGTTGAGAAGATCAGCTGAGCGAGTATCATAATTAGCACACGTTAGGACTCTTGCTGCATGAGACTGAAATCTTTGCAACTTGTCTCTTAGCAACTTACCACAAGTGTCCCAAAGGGGGGAGCAATAATCAAAATAGGGCTGCACAAGACTTTTATAAATATAGATTCTAAGGTATGCATTGGAACAAAGGGGTTAATTAAGGGCTTTACACGTTTCATAGCGCCAATAGCAGCACTCGCCTTCTTGCATATCATTTCAATGTGACTATCCCAATTAAGGTTTTAACTAAGGTTATACGGGGAGCCAATAAACATCATTTGACATTTTGATGGATGCATCTGCAGCCTATTTTCTTTAAACCAGTTACAGACATGGGCAAGATCTGAATTAAACTTATAACGAGTTCATTTGCATCGTAGGAAGATGAAAAGATTTGAGTATCATCCACGTACATGCATGGATCAGTTGATTCAAAACAATCGGGCAAATATCATTAATATATAATAGGGATAGGAGTGGTCTCAGTATAGATCCCTGGGGCACTCCACAGGTGATAATTTTATTACTAGATAACTTCCCATTAATTCCCTGAGCTCATAGGTGTAGAAGAGGGAGTGCTGCAGGTCCCCAATAATTAATTGATGGAAGAGAAGCATGATGTGCACTAAAATATAGTCGAAAAACTGCAGATGCCCCCTCCAATAATTTTTTTTCGGCACAGACAAGCCCGCCCCTTTCCTCCCAACAAAAATTCTGAGAAAATTATGAAGGGACAACATTTTATATTGGTCAGGCAATTTCCATCAACTTCAGCAGTTTCCATCAAGAACCTTTCTTCATCAACTCAGAATGAGCTTCGTTTAGGAAAGCCCACCAGACAAAAAATTGGACTGTCTGAAAGTACATTCATCTGGAGCACTCTAGTTCTCAGGGCCAGTTGTTCAAAGGTGGGTTAGCGCTAAGCCTGGGTTAAAATTTAACCCACTGTTTTAGTTTGTGTATTTCTGCACGTCTGTTTATTTCAAAACTTCAGGGAAGTAATCTCCTACTGTTCCAGACAAGATTTCTGAAGAAATATTTCCAAATTTATAGACAAGCTGTCAGGAAGTTTGCTTTAAATTTTAGGTTAACCTAGGGTTAAGCTAACCCACCTTTGAACAACTGGCCCCAGCTGCACAAAACACATCAATATGAATTGCCGAATTAAGATGACTACAACTAGTGACATGACTATGAGCAGATATTCAGTTTAATTTTCTCATTGTTACTGGACATGCTTAAAGGGTCCCAGTCAACCCTTTAAGTGGCAATGCACCCTGATGCACCCTCTCGCCTGCACCCAATGCACCCTCTTGCCTTCGGCTCGAGTTTGTATATCCGATACAACACAGCCACTCATGTTGTAAATAATACATATCTGATCACACTGAATTGGCTAGCCTATTGTATAATTTATACACATGTCATGTGACATTACGGGAACCACTGAGTATTTTGATAAAATACAAAACAATAGATATTCTGAAAATTGAAAGCATTTTTTTTCAAAATGCTTTCAATTTTCGGAGTATCTATTCTCATGTGACATAATTTGCTGGTGGACGTATGCAGTCTCAGAGTGCCATCTACACGTGTAAAAATCTCACAACTTGTCAACAAGATGTGCTCATAGCAGGCTTGTAGCAAGCTTGTCAACAAGTTGTAACAATGTTGTTATAACTGCTACAAGGTAATTGTCACTCACAACTTGTTGACATGTTGTTGAAATGCAGGATGATAACAAGTTGTTTTTGGAACAACTTGTGACAAGTCTGTTGAGCTCAACAACTTTGTAACAAGTTGTCAACAAGCCGTTGAAAACTTGTCAACAAGCTGGGAACAAGCAGGGCGAACACATCCTGTTGACATGCAAGTTGTTAAATTGGAACAGTATTGCTACAGCTCTGCTGCAGGTTTGTTACAACTTGTGCGTTTTTATGTGTGTAGTTGCATGTGCATTTACTAGTTTGTTTGTATTCAAACTAACAAGTCTTAAATGATCATCAGACAGAATATGTGGCAGACTGATGATGCACCATGAGGCATGAACTACGAGCATTTTCGCTTCTTCAGACATTACAATTTATAAGTGGTCGCCATTGGTAGTCACAGTTTATACTGCATCGCTTTGTTTTGCTTTGTTTATTTTGCTATTGGGCTGTGTTCACACAATTTTATATAAAACAGAATGAATTTGAAACCCTCCTCAAATCTGTACGTTTTCGTCTTTCTAGTTTTAAACAGGACCGAATTTGGGCACAGATAGCCGTCGAATTCCCATGTAAACAAACTGAACGGGACGAATTAGCGTAGGAATTGGAACGTAGACAAATTTCACTTCAGTCTTTACAGTAATTTATACAAGATTTATGATTTAACATGTTTTTGACTTACCTATAATATTCTTGCTTGTCCAAAGGTCTTCCGACTTATTAATGCACCCTATCAATGTTAATCCCGAGGGAGGGGGGGTCGGGCAAGGGGTGGGGATTTGACATTTTTCCAAAAAAAAATGTCAAATGCCACTCCCTCGGGAGAAAATTCCTGGGCAAAATTCCCCACCCCCGGGATGAAATTGTATTACTGAAGTATTTGGTTTCTGGTGCACTCTAATTACACAAATACATTTGGCGGTATAATTTAAAAGTATAACAAACATAAAGAACGTTTCAAAATAACTTAAAATACTCATTAATAATTTATATACCTTGCGCCACACCATGGTGTAGTGGACTGGAACACAGGCTAATAAAACACAGTATTCTTATATAATTATATTGTCAGTATTCTAATATAAAATAATAATAAATAATAATAATAATTTATTAAAAACCAATATTGCAGCAATAGCTGAATTACATTGGATGATAAAATCTACATATCTACATATCTACGAATCTACATATTAAATTGGTGCACAGATGCAGGAATAAAAGAGTTTCTAAATCTATTTGTAGAATAGCGAGGTTCAATAAAATGTCGCTTGTGTCTTAATGAGTATCTAGCATTAATGTTAAAAGTTGGTAAAAGATTGTACAATTTGTGGTTTGGATCGTTCATAATTGACCTAAATAGTTTCTGACAGAGAGCTTGACGTCGATCAGATAAGGGGCAGAGCTTTGTAATCTCCAAGCCTTCTCTGTACGATATCCCCGGTCCTAAGATGATGGAAAGGGCTCGTTTTTGAATACGTTCGAGATCATCGCTTAGATATCTCGGCAGCGCATAATGGAAAACAGGGGCAGCGTATTCGATGATATAATTGTTCGCCCTAATTAGTATTCTTTTGTACTCGTATTTCAAGTTGTGCGCCTCGCGTTTTATATCTGATAAAACACACTCCTACTCGTGTTTTAAATAGTACATAACGTGAACTTTTAATATACAAGTATAAATCGATATTAATATAATTATAAAATGGCTTTTAAGTGTTTATTTCTTGTCCAGAAATTTCCATATTTCTTGTAAAAACAACGCGCGAGACAGCGAGCGATAAACTAGTGCCCAGTCTTCAGTTTGTTCCTGACTCTTCCACAGTCCCTCGTTACCTTTTAGTGCGGGAGAATATGCCCGTTCGCGGGTTAGGCGTTGACAGCTACAACGCGGGCGACTGGGAACGAGTCAGAGTTTGTTCTAAAATTGGCTCAGGTTTCTTCAGTATATCGTCTGAGATCAGTGTTAATCTGTCAAAAATCCCCACCCTCGGGCCACTTAGAAAAAAAGTGTCAGTCCAAATCCCGACCCATGGGACCACCTGATTGATCAAATCCCCCCCCCCCTTTGCCCCCCCCCTCGGGGTTAACATTGATAGGTGCATAAAGTACAACGTTGCAACAGTGATTTGTGGCAATTTTGTATATAGTTGCTACAGTACATGCGTTTGTCTGAACACTTCCGGGTTTCTTGGAATTCAACACTTTTAGGGGCGGAACCATAGATATAGGCGGAACATTAGAAAAGTGATGAGGGGGGGGGGGGGGAATTCGCACAAAGGAAAACAAAAGAAAATAATTCGCGCAAAGAGGGAATTAACTTAAAACAAAGAAAAATACATTTAAAATTTCGTAAAACATTTACATCACAAGCAGACGGCCGAAATCCCCGCCCCCCCAATCATATTTCTATTGGTACGCCCATAGCTAGCCTTCGAGCAGGCGCGATTTAGGTTGGGGCCCAGATCAGGCTAATACGTTCTGGGAAGGGTAGGGATTGGAAAAAGAGTACTCTAGAGAAGAAACCTTTCAACCCCAATTGATAATTTTAATGCTAGTATCTTTAATTAACCTCGGAAGTGCCATTCTGAACACGTTAGCTTAACATTGTTGCAGTACAATGTAGACATAATTAATTAATCTATTTGATTTATGATAATGATTCCCCCTTCCCCCTAACCTGAGATTAGGCTCTATTTTACAAATAATAGCCTGACACAATCCTTAATCCGATCGCTTTCCACAATCCCCCCCCTCACCGGCGCCACTGGACAGAACTCACAGTTTGTAATACAGATATTGTTAATTAAACTTATGAGACAATATACTAATAGTAACTGTCAGTGGCGGCGGAACAGGGGGGGCTAAGGGGGCTAAAGCCCCCCCCCCCAGAAGTAAAAGTGGGGGGGCTTAGCCCCCCCAGAAAATTTTGTTTTCTCTGGAAAAATTTTGATAATTAAGGAAAAATGTAGGTTATTTTTGGAAAATTTAGGTATAAGGGGAAAAATTTGGGATATTTTGTATAAAAATCGAGTATGTCCGGAAAAATTTTTTGTTATAGGTCCGGAAAAATATTTTTCATCCCTTTTCTTGTATATGTCCGGAAAATTTTTTCTACCCCTAAAATGGTACACTGACCGAAATTTTTTTGGCGACGGTGGTGGGGTGGGGGGGGAGGTCACGGAAAAAAAATTAGCCCCCCCAAACTGAAATCCGTTCCGCCGCCTCTGGTAACTGTTAGTTTGGTTGGTCATCAGTCGATCTCTCAGCATTGCAGCCTGCCAGAGGTAACCCAACAGTACACTTTCAACGAAAGTTGACTCAGCCAATATATCTCATAACCAAATTTAAGAATCCTTGACAAGAGATCCGAAATTCTTTGGCTTTCTTTTCGTTTCCTAAAGCTAAAGAGACGACTAGGGACAAGTCAGTCCTTGAATTGCTTCACCGATTTTCTGTGAATTCTGCCCGCTGACGTCAAGACACTATTTGAACGTAATTCAACAAGAATTCCTGTTTTTAAGCAAGTCAACAGCCTTGCACCTAACCTTCTAAATTAGTTAGTAATATACTAATTTGTATTTATTTCTATCAAGAGTGTGTTTATCCGAGCCCCATATGAAGGGTTAGCCCTGCGAACCTTAGCTGATTTTCACGGCCCAGTGTGCACCTGAGATGAACCAGCCTCTTGCCGGGTCTGGTTCATATCCACAAACTTACAGCTAAAGGCTGATTTCTCTTTGATGGAAATCTGCCTTAATTTATTTTTTCTTGTGAGGTCCAAAATCATATTTTGTGTTGCAGATTTTCGAATAATAACCAACAAACAATTTAATATTGTTCTCGGGCTAAATGTTTGAATCGAAAAGCTGAGTTTGACGCAAATAAGGCGGGTTTTATACTCAGCCCTCCTAGGAAGGGATGACCAGCCCACCCTGTCACGTTCATTTTAGGAAATTTCCAGCAATACTACTACGCCACATCTCGGGGTAGTCAATAGCAAGATCTCGCCTAGGGAGCTGGCCCCCTTTCATATATTAACGAAAACATTTTTCTAGGGAATCCAATTATAAGGCGGAGTGTTGTCCTTTATGTAGGGCTCATATAAACACCTCCTAATAAGTGGACCATAAAGAATTTCAAATGTTAGTTTTCAACTAAATTTCAGTTAATGTACATTTACACGCTGCGATTTGTTGTGTTACGATTCATATTTTGGCATATGAAAATTACTGAAGACGCCACAATCCCTCTTCGTTTAGTTTACAGCGAAATATGAAATGCAATTACTTTACGCGTACTTTATTCGACTACATACGCCAGAATACAAATTGTACACAACAAATCGCAGCATTTAAACGTACTTTTACTACGTCAAATATCCATAAGATCATGTTGATTCGATCATATCGTTAGTCAGTTAATTAAAAAAAGATTTTGTCCCTTGTCATTCAAGTCGGGTTTCCATATTGTCGTAAAGATAAAGTCACGATATTTTTCAACAGCCAGATTATAATAGTTTTTACCTGTAAACCACATATAAATCATAAGTATTCTCCATTAATAATCACTCTGCCTATTTTCAGTTCTAAACTGTTGTATTTCGGCTGTTGAGAAACATTGTGACTCAATCTTTACGATCATTAAGACTATATGCAAACCAAACTTTAAGTGTACGAAACTATTCAAATCTTCTTTATTATTCTTCCAAACAGTATTCATCAACAAATTCCAGCACTTTCGAGGCTGCATCAACCGCCATTTCTGCTTCATTCTTGTTGAACGCCTCAGCTGGAACGACATTGGATTGTTGGCAGTTGGGATACCGAGTATTTAGGTAATACCTGGCAACTCTTCCCACCGACTGCATTCCCGCTCCGTCCGGTTTTCCTGTTTCTTCAATGAGCTTGTACGCTAGTTCGTCCACCTTGTGAGACTCGAGCAATCGACCAGGGATACCACAGCAGTAAAATAACATGGCCTTTAAGCATTTCTCAACGACCTGCTGGCTCTGGAAACATGCATGAGCACTGAAAGGTGGACCAAATCGAAGTAACCATCTTGCACTTTGCAAATCACTCTTAGATTGTTGTAGCCATCGCATGGCTTTCTCGCGGCTCTTTGGGTAAAATCTTTCATCTTCAATTTCATCTCTAATCCTGGAATGCGTTTATTTAAAAACCGTGATTAAATGCAGTGATTTCTTGCACGTAATCCTTTCAACTGTGATCGTAATCCTAGCCCGAATCCTTCATCCTGATTTAATATTTAAGGTTACAGGACACCCTTTTCGGCGTTTTGTGGAAAAAATCGCTACTGCGCGCTCAAAATCAGTCCGATTTTCATCAAATTTTCACCAAATGTTAACCAGTGCATGCAAAATATGATAAAGTTGTAAAATTGACAAACAATAAAATAATGTAAGAATTATTCAGGAAAACTGCACGACTGCAATATTTTTCTGAATCGTTTGTGTGAATTGCTCATTATTAAAATGTCCAAAATTAGAACAAAGCCGAACACAATTTTGAAACTGACGTCTTTAGCTATGTCCTGTGAAAATTTGAGAGAAATTCGTTAAAATCCGCAGGAGCACAACTCGTTTAAAAATCAGTAATTGCCGTAAAATTCTTCGGGAGAAAATTGAATTTGAATATTACATTTTGAATGTTTTTCTTATTGCAAGCGAAATGTATTTTATTAAATAACTCTGCGAGTTTTCAACATTTTTCGTCCAAACTTGATCAGATAGCAGAACTAGTCTAACGCTTTCATGGAAACCAAAAAAAAAATTTAGGCAAAATTAACACTCAAAGGTGTTCTGTAACCTTAACTTCATCCTGAACCAAATCTCAATCCTTACTTTTATCCCATTAATCTAATCCTAGCACTAAACATTATCCTAACCGTAATCCAGGCCATCTCAAGTCACCTTTCGAGCTAAATTCTAAATCTAGCTACATGCAATCAAGTACAAAGATAATGGGACTTTTCACGTTTTCTTTTTCTCTGTAATTTTTGAGAAAACAATTTCGGCTGACTGTCCTTTATATCCTGTTTACAATAATATATGAAAGGGAAAGGGGACAAATTAAGACCTTCCTGTTTCAGTAATTTTGCACGTGATTGTAACTCTATTTATACTGGGTAGCTCTATTACTTCTTTCTAAATTGTTCTTCCTATATCACTTATTGGTCTGGAGTCAGTTGCTCAAAAACCGGTTAGGCTAATCCTGGGTTAACAAAAACCTTCAATGCAATCTACCCAACAGCCTATATATAAACATGAGATTTACCCATACACCTTACATTGGCATCACTTACGATTAGAGCTCGACAACTGGTTTCAAAATAATTAAAATATATATGCTATACCTTGTACGTCCACCACCACCACCACCACCAAGACCCAATCCAGGAACTTGTTCATCATCAAAATCAGTGAAATCATTATCAGCTTTGAAAGTACTCCGAGTAATACCAAGCTTATCCAACGCTCTTGTGATTTCACTTGGAGAAGAACAGCCTAACATTGCAATCATTCCCTTTTCTTTTTGTATGCAATCTCCTAGAATCTTGTTAACACAAGTACCGGTTGAAACTGAATTTTTGTCATCTTTAAAGTCGTGTTGCATGTACAATGACCATGTGCTTTCACCGTGTACTGCATAACAACTGTCTTCCAATTTATCTACAACTTCTTCGGTATTACGATCGATAATATGGATCTTTATGTTTTCAAATCCCGTGCACTTCGTTTTAACATCCGTTTGCAGTTTCTTCATTCTTTGCTCAAATTCTTGAGGATCTTGGCGATTTTCCATAAGTAAACGTTTAAGCCCCACTTGAAACTGATCAGATCGCAACAGATCCTCAAATTGTTGTTGGAATTTGCATGTGGAACCGTGTTGAGCCTCTGGACAGATATAAACATTGCACTCGGGATCGACTTCTTCCCGGAATATTTCGTCAAATTTCGTAGGACGTAAACGCTTCGGTAAAGCGTCGATGTAATCATCAGCAATCTTGTTAAGTCCGCACTCTTCGAATCGTAAAAGGATCGGACGTTGGAGGTTTTCAATTACTTCCGTAAAACGTGACGAAACTTTGCAAACCATTTCGCAGGATTTGACAAGCTGCTTACTTTGATTTGGTAAATACAATTCATTTATTCCATCAGCACTTTCGCCCTTGGAAAGTAATTCAAATAGCATATGCATAGCATACTTGACTTTCTCCTCCACTTCAGTAGATAGTGCCCCTTCTCCGCCTTCATTGTATATAGAATTGAGAACGTAAGCAATCTGTAACGGTGTTGGCTTCTCAGTTGCACCAAGTCGTTTGAGAAAATGCTCCAACTCCCCAAATTCCCGGGGTACAGGATAGAGGAATGGTTTCAAAGGGCTGTTTTCAGAAAGTCTGAACACCATTTGTTCTGCTTTCACAAACGTTTTATCTTCTTGTAAAAATATGCATGGAACATTCTTTAGGCAAGTACCCATATCGATACAAATATCGCTGCATTCGTCATTTGGACTGCGACAACAACATTTTGTGGACTTCCATAGAGACTGATAAATGGACTTGGTGATTTCATGTAATTGAGTACTATCTACTGAGTCAGGATTGTATGATTTAGCTACGTTTTGTAGATGGCCAAGAACATTTGTATATCTTGGTCCGGAGCAAGCAATACGAAGGTTTTTCAATTCAGCCATGTTGTTTGGTTGTGCCCAGATTGGGAGAATGGGAGCGGTTGTCCAAGTTATATTTCTGTAATACCACGGTACTCCATCTATGAATTTGAGGAAAGGTAGTTTGGCGTTTCCTGGGCACTGGTGCTGCTCGTGTATTGAGGTTAGTTTTTCTTCCACTTTGGCTGGAGCAATGAATTTGATTTGCGATACTAGAGATAAAAATGTCTCATCTCGCAAGGTTTTCTCGAAAAATAGACACTTTACTAGTACTTCAGATCGTTTGCGGTTCCGTTGGTTACTAGAGTCCTCCTTTCCAACCTTGGCAACCGTCGTACAAAATTGTAGGAATAATTGAGGAGTAATATCAACTTGCAGTCCAATATCATAAAGCAGATGAAACCAATGTGTATCGTTAAATGGCGCCGGAGGGAACATATCGTAATCATCTTCAAACATTTTGAACATTTCGTTGTTCGGATCGAAGAATTCCCAAGCGAAATGAAGATCGCCATTTTGATCAGGAATACAGGGACTTTCAGTCATACTCTTCACTAACATCTTCTTGTGAGCAAGAATTGGGTACTCATCACGGATGTAAATAAGATGCTTTATTTGGCTTTCTCTAGTAAACATGCTGAAATGTTTGAAGACATACTCCACGTAAAACTGCGTGACATCTTGACCAGCTTTAACACCAAGGTCGCTGTAAAGTTTATCAAGTGCAGGTAAAGCATCAGAGTTCAGGAAAAAACATTTAGCTCGCTGTTGAAGCTCGTCTAGCTGTTGTGTTGGAACGCCAGAAGGAATAAGAGCATACGAAGAACACTGATCGATCAAACTCACAAACTGTCCATCCAATGCTTTATGGAACGGTAAATCCTTTACCATTTTCTTGCATTGTTCCAACAGCCCCGACCTTTCGTAATTATCTTGCACGAACTGGAGAAAATTGTGAATTTCTTCTTCTTGTATTTCTGAGAGGTTCAGCTTGCTTGTCTTCAACATATGATGCAGGACTTTCAAGACGTCAACAACATTGTGAGGGTGTGCCACATAAGGATCAGTGACAGCTTTTTTCCTTTCAAGAACGTTTTTGCTAGGTATCTGTATCGTGGCAGAGTCTTCGGTAATATGATTAGTAGCACTAGAATGTCCGTCGTTGAAAGTGATGTCCTTGTTCAACACTAGGCATTTCAAATTACTCAAGAATTCGCGCACATTTAGTTGCTCTGCAGACTCGGTTCCAGAGGCTGTCATATCCAAGACAGTTTTTGCGTCCTTGATCGTCACAATTTTTCCACATGTTGTTGGAATCACAGGCCATTCTGATAAACATTTTAAGGATACAAAGTCTTCATCAGGCTCGGCCTTTGCGTGGTTTTGTAAGAAGTCCCAACATTTTTTGAACCATTGTTCAGATAGTATCCCTTCGGCTGGAAATTTCCATATTGCATCATTTTTGATAGCTCTTAACACTTTGTCTGTGAACACTTGTGGCAACAATTCTGCAAAGTCTCGCACAGTAAACTCGCGGATGATGTTTTCTTCCGATTTGGTAGCGGTCCACGGGATATGGCAAACAATTTTAGAGTGAACAAACAAGTGTGACTGCGTTGGGAAAAGATCGCCAAATTTAGAAAGAAACACAGGTTGACGTGGATCAAATACTCTTAGGTAACCATCTTCTGTTAGTAGCAAAGGCAAGCCTTCTAACTGTTTGCCAAAATCTTTATCTTTACAACAATATTCTATTAATGCTGACAATTCTGGAACAGTTTTGACTGCAGTGGTTTCCAGTTTTTCTGGAAGATTGTCAATCTTACATAAGGATCTTCTCGATTCGAATTCTCTTAGGAAATCAATGATGCTTCCCGGACTAATTTCATGCAAAGTTATTAATCCTGCTGATCTAAAACCACTGTGTAATCGGCGTGGAGCGTGAAGCAAAATGGGGAGGCCAATTCGTATTAACAAGTGCAGGAAATCATCCTCCACACCAGAACTGACGAAGTATGCTTGGTCAACTGAAAGCCAACTAGTAAACTTGACTTTAACGGGCTGTGTTTCAGAAGTGTCCGTTTTCTTCATGTAGGAAATCATTAATCCACCAACAGTAGAGAAGAAGCTACTTCCTGGAAGACGTTGTAAGAAACTGGTAGTCGCTTCCCTTTCTGACTCGATTGGAACTAGCAATGGCAACACTTTTGCTCTCGTTTGTCCCAGGTAGCGATACAATTCAGTCGTAAGAGTCTTCCAAGGCGTATCACTCAAAACTTTCGGGAACAAAGCATGATAACGTGACAGTTGGTTGTCGTCCTCGTCATTGCAAAGATGGTTACGAGCTTCCTGGATCAAAGCGGCATAGGCAGGTGGTAACACACAAGTATTCATAAAGTGGTTCCACTTAGACCTTTCCCCCTTGCCATCTGTATCCGTCCAAAGACGTCGTCTGTTGTTATCCAAGGCAAAATGACCATTTACATGAACTGGTAGATTAGTGCAGTTCTCGGGGAGAGGTAGAAAACAATACACTATACCACGAAACGCCGGTTGCTTTCCAGAGGATGATGATCGTGTCCATAGCCGAGCTGCCAAGCCACCACGTGGAAAAAGACCAAGTTTGCGACCATCAGGAATTTCACCGTATTTCTTTGTAGTGATGATAGATCCAATGCACTTCTGTATCAACCATCTCTCGACTTCTTTCGCGTTTTCTTTAATTGTTACGGTGTAATTGACTCTTTCACATCCAATTTTTGCTGTTGGAGTGTCATTAAGCTCACAAATCTTTCGTGCCATGTCTTGGCGCTTCTTTTCATCCTCTGAAGCTATCACGGTCTCGACCTGATATATTTTTTCGAGCTTGTTGTCTGGATGAATTTTTGAGAGTGTTATCTTCTTAACATGATTTAAAAACAACAACGACTTTCGGGCTTCTTCTTGAAAGGTCTTTAGAAGTTTCTCCATGTTAGGAAACATATTGGATATCTTTGATTCAGTTCTTTTTTGTCTCAGTGGAAAACGGAATATTGTCGAGCCTTGTAAATTAAAATGGTCACCAAGATATCCATTGAGTGTATCGGAGCAATCATTTCGGAGTTTTGCAGTAAGCTTGAATAATTTGCCAGGATCTTCGTCTAGGACATAGCGACGATGGGGATCAAGAATCACTAGGGTATCATCATTCGATAGAAAGCTTGGACAGTCCGTAAGATGGTATACTGAGTTGAAACCAATTCCATACCTCCCAGTTGTCTCAATGGTATCTCGTTTGCTTCCAATACCAAGTTTCTTAATTCCCTCGAGATCTTTTTCGGTAAATGGTCTATCATTGTACACACACAGCGCCGGTCCTTGTATTTCTTTGCATGTTTTGTCTTCTGTCGCCACTTTTTCACATCCCAGAGACCGAGTATCGTGTATGAAATGTATCTGTGAGGCTTCAGCATCGTCAGCGTTTTGTACGAGTTCTTTTAGTATTCCGTCAGGAGGATATCCATCTAGAATTCCTTTCAGTCGGTCAGTTAACTCCTCGTATTGTCCGAACGACTCTCCATAGCCAATGCGATGTGAACACTTCTTCAGTATAACATTTTTCAACGGTTTAGCGCCCAGGGCTTGTGCCGTTTGTGGTGGTATCTTCTCGTGGACTTTAAGATTGTCATCAGGATCCTTGAACCACAAACTTAAATTTACAACAACATCTTGGCTTCGGCGCAAAATACCGTTAATGTCCGGCAGTGGAATGTTGCCGATGTAATTCTTCAGAGTGGGATTTTCGACATCAATTTCATTGATGAAAAATACTGCAATGTGTAATTCATTTTCTGTTAGAACACTTCCTTGCTTTGTGCTTTCTATTTCATAAAGAGCACCGATGTAGTCGACATCACCAAAAAAATGTTTGATTTGCATCGCTTCAAACAAATGTTGATAGTTCCGTTTGTAGTCGGAAGGCAGGCTGAATAAAAATGGATCTCCGTTCCCGTTAGAATTATGAGCCACTTTCACGCTTTGCACAAACTTGCCTTGAAGAAACAGCCAATTTCGTCTACCTAGCTCGTTTAGGAAACGATTTCTTGCATTCTCTACGATCCTATCATTAAAGAATCTGTAAATTTTTCGGCAGACGGATTCAATGGCGAATCTCTTCCTCATATCTTGCTTTTCCTCTTCGGACAACTTTTTCCAAAACTTAATCGCTTCGTCTAACTGTTGAATCACCAACCCCTCAGTAGGCACATGGCTCGAAAATCCCAAAAGATCTTTCACTTTAGCATTCATTTCTCCACAACCACTTTCGTCGGATGTGTTTACAATTAAAGAAGATGAGCCGACCAGCTTGGCATCCTCTGGTAGAAAAACCTCGTTTGGTGCACAAAAAAGTGGCAAAGCAGACCCTGTTGATCCTTTCCAAGGTAAAAGGTATTCATCTACAGGATGTCTTAAAACTGGCAAGAACTTTATCCTTTGAATGATAGACCCATCGGGCTTTGGCAGTTGATCTATTCGCCTGTTAATGTATTCGATTAGTTTTTGAGAGCGTTCTAGATCATTAGTTTTGGCGATAGACTGAGCTCTTTCGTGGATTCCTGTCCAATCAAGGTCTTTTACCATACCAAGTGTTTCCAAAACATACAGACGCTTAGAATCACGGAGGCCATTTCCAACTGGAAAACGGTGATCTTGTTCGGAAAACAACTTAGCTGCAGGACTGAAAGGATGGATAAGTTCACAAGGCTTCGCAAGGGTTTTCCCATTTTGTGACACTGAAATACAGGCATTTTGTTTAAAGAGACTGCTCTCTTCAATACACGAAGAGTGAAATAATCTATTTCCTTTTAGGATACGATCCAAACAAAAGCAAACGATAGCATCTCGCTGAGTTGCATTGAGGGTTTTGACCTTTGGGAAGAAGTATTGTCTCACAAATGTTATAAAGGTCAAGGTACGTCGTTGCAAGATACCCTGTCGGTCGACCTTCATCAAAGTTTGCAAAATTTTACCGGGTAGGTTAAAAACATGTATCCCTAGTGATCTTAGCACTTCCACTACAGTCTCGTAGATATCGTTAAAATCATCGCTCAACAAGAAACCACCAGTGATACTCATCCATATTCCGTCGCTGTAAAATAGCTTAGACTGCTGCCCTAACAATACACTACATATTTTCTGGACTAACTTCTCCCAGGATTTCATATCAACGGCATCAATACTTGGCCACAAAGTGTGGAATTTGTAATCCTGAACATTGCCAATCAATTCTTTCATTTTCTCAATGAGCATGATATAAGCTCTGGCCAATGCGTCTTCCATAAGTGCTTCATTCCATTCCACCTCGATAGGCTGAGTTCGCATAATCGTTCGTTTCCAAATTTCAACGCGATTGGACATGATAGCAAAGTAGCCATTCACATGCACAGGCAGCCCGGTAAGAATAGATAACGGAAGAAAACAAAACAGCTCCCCAGAAGGATGTGAAGCGACATCCGACTTGCTGGAATCTTTCCTGGAAACTTTCTGAACAAATGCTACTCCGCCACAGGGTAAAAAACCACGAGCTCGCCCTTCTGGTGAACGTGCAACTGCAAGTGAGGCGTCAGTCCCGCTGGTGGATACCACAAGCCATGTCAGATCATTGTTGTATCTACGGCGACATCCACTCAATTCTGATGGTTCTTTTCTGGTCACAATTTTAACAAGCTCACAGCCAGACGGATATTCAGTGCAGGGTATTTGAGATTCACGGTATCGTTCCCACCATTTTGCACACTGCTCAATGAACGGTGTTTTGTTCTTCACCACTTTGTTTACAGATAACACCAATTGCATTTTTTCAGGCAGACTCGATCCATTCAATTCATAGACTTCTACCACCTTCACATGTTGGGAAAAGATCAGCAGAGTCGAAGCACATTCGCAAAGGTTGGAAACAATGGCTTCAATCTTGGCTCGACCATAGGTAATTTTGCAGATATCACTACTGCTTGCTTGGGAAGCCGTACGAAATGGAAAGCGAAATAATGTTCCGTTAAAGTAGAAGCCATCGCGTCTTTGTACAGTATTACAACCAAAGATGCCATTGTACTGCTGAAACTGGTCGTGGTATCGTGTTAAGGACTCTGGTTTCGTAGCAAGGTTAATATGAATTCCAGGACGGGACCTGTCCTTAATGTGACGTTGTAAATGGTAAGTGTTTGGATCGAATACGACCAAGTGCTCTCGGCTGATAAAACTCGGTACATCAGTGAGGTGATAGACAGCGTTAAAACCAAGCCCAAACCGACCAATCTTCGAAATATCTTCCACTTTCGTTTCTCCAGCTAGCTTGTTGATATTTTCAAAATCTTCATCAGTAAACACAGCATTATTGTAAGCCCATAGAGCTGGACCTTGGCATTCGGCCATGCCAGGAGAGAATAGGCTTCCCGTTTGACCCTTTCTCCAATCCACCAAAAATTTGACTGTAGTAGCACCTGCATCGTCCGCATTTTGGATCAGCTCTTTGAAAACACCAACGCCATCTTTGTACTCTCGGAGTATATTTCTAATCCGAGTTGTAATTGGTTCATACTGTCCTGTTTGTTCAAACAATTCTGTTGAAGAAAGACAAGTTTATTTGACAATCATAAATATTACCTGTTACAGAAATTACATAGGTACAGTAAGGCTTTTGCAAATATTCATATGGTACTGTTCTCTCGGGCTTTCTAGGCGCAGCGACTATAGGTTTTGCCTGAGTTTTTTTGTCGATTTTCAGACACAAAATGGACAATCCAGCTGATCTCATAGTTATATTGCATAGAGAACTGAACCTGCTCACACATGCATGGCAGAAAGGTCGTATTGTCATTGGAGAATTAAAATTTGAGGTATAATATATTTCACCTACCTTCCTCATACTGCGCAGCCATTACCATGCAGCTAGTATAGAATCTGCTAGGAGGAAAGTAGTATTTATGCATTCAATTACACGATGACAGAATGAATTTTTGCTTTCTATCGACAATCTAAAATTAACAAAGCACATAAAAACGCATGCACTAGCTGATGCCCAACCTTTCCTTACGACACACACCTCTGGCTGTCTTACACCTAGGGTTCGTAGAAGTCAGGAAAAGTGAAATCCGAGCCGGACTTTCCAAGGCTTTCATTACCATGTATCATGAAATTAATGTGTTGCAGGGCATTTTTTAAGAATTCGTCAGTGGGGGGGCCATCTACAAAAAGGGACCATACTATACCGAGTGTGGAGCAATGATAGATGGTTTGTTGGTAACAAAAGGTTTGGTGTGGTATCGCATTTAATAGTAGG